TGTTGTTTATTTGTTTGTTTGTTTATGTTTTAGGGTGTTATATATTGTAGGAGTTTTTACATCCACATCGACACTATTTGAACTTTATAGGAGGCAGGCTTACGACCTTGCCTGTCAAGGCCAATCCGTGCTGAGTGGGATACAACATCCCAATAGAAAAACTGAAATACTTGATAGAAATTGTTCTTCCCAACTCGGGAATTGAACTCTGGACTTTTGCGTGCCATGTGGAATCGCTTAACCTCTACACCACAGATGCATGTGCAATGTTATCGAAAGAGTGGGCATGTGACTTTTTATTGTATAGAAAGACATTGTAAATCAAAAGATTTACGTTGGAAAGCTGTTCAAATGTTCTACGTCCAGACAGCAAAATTGTACAGGAGAGAGAGGAAAACGACTGTTAGATTATTTTAAATTGTACCATATATTCATTTCAATAATTATCTAATTTTGTTGGGTTTCTTTCAACGTTTAGAATTTGAATTATGGCATAACATTATGTTTTTAGCATATGCAACCGATACCACAAATCAAGAAAATGCAATCAAAATTTATGTTCATGTTGGTCACAGTCCAATTTAACCCTATCTGTATATCGAGTTTTACTATCGTATCCATGCGACGTGGGAACTCTGTGCCACCACTTACCAAAGAGGAAATTTACTCGTTAATCTGATCCGTACGCTTTGCAAAGCAGTCTGTCAAAATGATTTTTTTAGAAATACAGTAAGTTTCAAAGAGATCTTCGTAGTAGAAGTATTCTAAAATGAAGAATACAACCCAGGGGTATAAAATGACCCTGCGGCGTACGGATAAGGTTAACAGCTTGCCAACATTTAGTAACCTTCAACAAGCTCAACAAAATTTGGAAGAAAAAAATATGTGAGGCAGCGTGGTGGAATCAGGCTCTCGTCAACTTTTGGACATGTAGAGTTATAGGTAATATCTTAAAGCTTGTTCACTGTCTTTATTTGGATGAAAAAAATATCCATTTATCTCGAATACAAGTAGAGATACTTGCAAAAGCAGGAGGTGGGGGTCACCTGTTTTTAGAAGAAAAATAAAGAGAAAATGGCCGCCAAAGATTAGTTATTTCCTTAGCTTAAGAGTCCGAGGTAACTGAAAATTTTAATTTTTTATGCCTTTAAAAAACGTTTATAAGGAAAATCCACACAGAAATGAGTTCTTTAAAGAGCATGAAAGGTGTTGAGTCAAAGAACAAAAATTTGATAAAAATTCATAAACCTGCGGAAAAATGCAAGTTCCTTCACTTTGATTATTTTGACGAGAGCCTGATTCCACCACGCTGCCTCACATAAACTTGGTTCTAAGCTGAAACCGAGAAAGTACATCTCAATTGTTCTGCCGGTATTAATGTATTTATGGTTGGGAGTCATGGAAACTAAAGAAAAAACTGGAACCGGCACCTGCAACATAATAATATAGCAGTTAGGCACTTCGCTGTCTCACACAGGAGACCCGGGTTCGATTTCCGAAGGGGGGAGAAAATGTTTTTCGAGTATCACAGTCTTTCTGCTTGGATATATCGCATATCGCTTTTTGCAGTTTCAATGTTCACTTTCTAAGTACAGTCCAGTCTGCTCTAACGGCCACCTGTACAAACGACCACTTCCCATTTCCTCTCTTGTGTATAAGTTCACATTATTATGACACTCGTAAGACGGTTATCTAAGACGATCACTTTTCTCCTTGACAATGGGCAGCCGCTCAAATAGTGTTGACTCTATCATTATATATAATTTTTTGTAGCCCGTGTTAACTCTAATCGTCTACGTTGTGTCAATGCGGGAACTAAAGGTTAAAATCTAAAATGGCGCTCATATGACCGTATGCAGTTGCGAGCGCCGTAAAACCCTCAACTACTTAATTAATTTTTTTCCCCAAAATCTAAAAGTCAAAAAAGCAAGGGTAAAAAAAACAACAACCCACACAACGATTTTTGGGAAAGATAATGTATATGCAGGCTCAAAGCAACCCCCCTCCCCTCCCCCTGTTTTCTTCTTCCCAAAACGAAAGTAAACCAACATCTCTGCACTAACACTGTCAGCTGCTACAACACAAGCTGTGGTCGCGGTTCATGGAGTCTTTAGCTTGGAGGTTTATAGAATGGCATTTTTGTAAAAACGTTATTTGGTGTCTCGACGCGGTGGAATCATTCTCTCGTCAATTTTAAGGCTTATAGCTACCTTGGAATTACAAAGTTTGTTTCAGCTCAGTAGCTAAGTTTTAGAAACTTGACATTAAAAATTTTAAGTGTCACAACGTGTCAAGCTGTTTTTAACGCAATTTTTTGAATATAGAGATCTATATTGAAAACAACTCCGAGTAATCTTACGATTTTGATAGAGAGCGGATAGAACATAATAATAATGGTTTCTAAATCATGGTGGGTGTAACTCAAAACGGTCAAAATGTCAGATAAAACTTTGTAAATCTGTGGTAGCGATATGGAGTGATAGTTTTAATCTTCAAAGTCTTGCTGGTTTATCTTGCTTTTGATGAAAAGAAAACCTCTTCTATCTTGAATAGGAGTTCAGGTGTTAAAATCTACTGTGCTGTTGCGCGGTGTGGATGTCAGTAGGGGGGAATTATTTAGAAAGTTGCCATCATGGTTTGGTGACTTCCGAAATTGTAGCGTCATTAGAAATTGCAAATTAACATTTTTTTTTAAATTATTTTTTTAGTCTAGTTTTAAACTTATTTATTCGTTTATTTACTCATTTGTGTCTTTGCTTGTCGTTTTTCCTGTAAAATCTAAACGTCAATGTGCTTTTGACTGGGCACATACGGTGTTGAGCCCTGAAAAAAAAAAAGAATCAAAATTGCTCAACGGACGAAATAAAGATGTCGGTTTCTTCGATTTCATAATTTTGACGAGGGCCTGATTTCTCTATGATGCCATACATTTTTTGTGTTATTGGGTTGGGGTAGCAGTGGGCTGTTTTGTTATTTCGCAATATGGGATTGGGTTTTTGCGTATGTGTGTGTGTGTGTGTGTGTGTGTGTGTGTGTGCGTGTGCGTGTGTGTGTGTGTGTGTGTGTGTGTGTGTGTGTGTGTGTGTGTGTGTGTGTGTGTGTGTGTCATTTACATGTTTTCTATTTGTCCTGATAAGTTTTTAAAAATGTTTTTCACGCTATTTGTTTTTTATCTTTAAAATTTGTTTCGAATATGTATTTACAAATTATGTCTGCTCCTTTGTAGTTTTTTGTGTGTCGCTGGTGAATACATTGTTCAGGGGTGGTAGGAGTGGTGTCGTGTAAGGATAGGGGGAGGGGTGTGGGTGATAACTGCTTTTCTTTTCTCTTTAAAATGTCTTTTATATTGAGCCATTTAGCTGTGAGCTCTTGGTTCTAAGTGTTGACGGCAGACGTTCAGAGCATGGGGTTTGGAGCCTTTCACATGCTCTGGTGGTTATTAAAAGACCCGGGGATCGTACACGGACTGCGATAGCGGTGACTTGGAATAAACTTCCACAAGTGAATTGCACATTTTGTGATAGGAAACAAATGCTGCATAGTGCACTCTTGGTAAAAGTGTGTTGTTGTTTTTCTTTTTTGTAGCGGGGGAGGCTGTTTTTGGTTTTTTATATTCATGTGATCTCAAAAATCCACCAAGAGAAAGAGTCACCCGCGAATCATTACAAATTGTTGTTTTCCACACGCTTGTTTCGAATTAGATTTTTTTTTAAATAATAAGGCGTAGCTTTCAATAAGTTTATAAACGAAAATGTTAACGTCTCTGGGAGGCGGCGTCGGTGGCCCGGTGGTTGGGCCACCAGATCTGTAATCGTGAGGTTGTGTGTTCCTTTGTATGAGCCTCAATTCGGTCCGACGTTGTGTCCTTGGGAAAGGCTCTTCACACGAATTTCTTACTTGACTCGGTCTTTTAGGAGATGGGCGTTGAACTCGGAGATTCAACCTTTTAAATAACTTAATTCTTACAAGTGGTGGGCCGGTTGTTGTTGTTGTTGTTGTTGTTGTTGTTGTTGTTGTTGTTGTTGTTGTTGTTTTGTGTTTTGTTTTTTGTTTGTTTGTTTGCTTTTCTTGTGCTTTTTTTTGTGCTTTGTCTCAGTAAATTTAGTTGAAGAAAACGTCAGCTTTTTCAGCAGTGAATGATTAAGGTAATACTAGCTTGTTCATCAATGTCTGACAATAACCAATACATCCTTAATGAGGAATGTTTAACTAGAGAAATGTA